GGTGCTAGAAGAGTCCATTACAGGTGGCAATGGTCATATTTATTTATTTATTTTATTTTTATTTTTCAATTTATATACCGCCCTTCTCCCTAAGGACTCAGGGCGGTGCACAGCCAGAATTAAGAACATGAACTACAAATATTAAGAACAATTAAAATATATATAAATTTGGCCCCAAAATTTAAAAATCACAAACCAATTAAACATTTAAAAAATTTAAAAATTTCTTCTTAAGCCAGCCCGGCTTGCTGAAAAAAGAAAGTTTTAAGGGCACGGCGGAAGGCACCGAGGTCTTGGATTCTCCTTATCTCTGGGGGCAGCTGGTTCCAGAGGGTAGGTGCCCCCACAGAGAAGGCCCTCCCCCTGGGGGTCACCAGCCTACATTGTTTGGCTGATGGCACCCTGAGGAGGCCCTCTCTGTGGGAGCGCACGGGTCGATGGGAGGTCGTCGGTAGCAGCAGGCGGTCTCGAAGATAGCTAGGCCCGATGCCATGGAGCGCTTTGAAGGTGATAACCAACACCTTGAAGTGCACCCGGAAGACCACCGGGAGCCAGTGCAGCTCGCGCAGGAGCGGTGTTACATATATAGGAGCCATTTGCCAAGCACCTGAATTTGGATCCCGTGACCATGGGGATGCTGCGGAGGTCGTAACAGTGAAAAACGGTCATCAGCCACATTTTTTCAGTGCTGTTGTAACTTTGAATGGTCAGTAAATGAACTGTTGTAAATCAAGGACTGCCTGTAATACAATCTGAAAATGAAGCAACATATTTCTTTTAAAAAAAAATCCATGAAGGAGAGCTTAAACTCCCTTCCCTGTGTCTGACGTATGCTGCTCGGATTATTATTGTTATTATTGTTATTATTATCTTTATTCATTAAATATGAAACTCGGTCAACTGAACATTCAAAAATGCATCACAAATACCATTGACTGGTGCTAATGGTTGATACGGGTTGCTGCCAGCATCCTAGGTATCAACCATCATCATCATCATTGTATTCATAATATAATTTGTATTGTTTATTCAATTTGTATGATGAATAAGTTACAGGTCAGCAATGGAAAATAAAAAAATCTTTTTTGTCCCTTCTATGATGAAGGAGGACCTCCCACTCTTTAACACCCAACTTAAAAAGCAATTACTCCACGGATGGGTTTCACATATTGTTGCCACCGGTTTGCTCGCGCCTCCGCATCTTTCGTACCTGCGCCCGGCCTTCTGTGCATGCCCCTGGCCTTCTGCGCATGTGCCCAGCCTTGAAAACGTGGCTAAATAGGACAGCATTATGTCTGGGCAGGTGGCGCTACCAGTTCGACAAAACTGGCTGAATACCACCTCTGAATTACTCCCTATTATGTAGATCTACTGCTCTGCACTTCGCTTCATTTCCTTGGCTGGATCTGGTAGTGCCCCATTTGATAAAAGAGAGTGTCCCTTGTGGACCTATGTCCTTGCATTTCTACCCTTCTCACTGTGATAGGCTCCCTCCTATTCCCTGCTGGCCTGTGTCCTCCATCAGTGGTTTTAATGAGGTTGTCTGGATTTTAAGTAAGAATAGTCCTATCCTTCCCCTCATTTCTAAAAACTGAAGATAAATTCTGCAGATTCTCTGCACTTTGGGGGGAAAAAAATGTGCAGAGAAGAGCAACTAGGATGATTTAGACCAGGGGTCAGCAACCTGTGGCTCTGGAGCCGCATGTGGCTCTTTCATCCCTCTGCTGCGGCACCCTGTCACTCAAAATATGTGTCACAACCGCCAATGTGTGACACCCATCGGCATGCAATTTATTGAGCTTTTCAACCCCCGGTAGGCCAACCATGGATAAATCCAAGAAAAGAAAAAAGTTTCAGAAGAAAACTGAACGTTTAATTCAACTACATATGCTAGTTTTGTGGCCGCTCAAGAAAAAGTTAGGCACGGGACGGGTTTTGTGGCTCCCGGTGTTTTCTGTGGGAAACGGGTCCAAATGGCTCTTTGAGTGTTTAAGGTTGCAGACCCCTGATTTAGACTAAAACATACGAAGAACAGTTGCAGGAACTGGGTATGGCTAATCTAGAGAAAAGAAGGACTAGGGGTGACAGGATAACAGTATTCCAGTATTTGAGGGGCTGCCACAAAGAAGACGAGGTCAGCTGATTTTCCAAGGCAGCAGAAGACAAGACAAGAAACATTGGATGGACACTATAATCAAGGAGAGAAGCAACTTGGAATTAAGAAGAAACTTCCTAACAGTGAGGACAATTAACCCATGGAATAGCTTGCCTCCAGAAGTTGTGGGTGCTTCATTTCTGGAGGTTTTTAAGAAGAAACTGGACAGCCAATTGTCTCAAATTGGATAAGGTCTCCTGCTTGAGTGGTGGGGTTGGACTAGAACTGTGAGGGCGAACCTATGGCACGTGTGCCACAGATGGCACGCGGAGCCATATATGTGGGCACGTGAGCATTGCCCTAGCTCAGCTCCAGCACCCATGCATGTGCTGGCCAGCTGATTTTCGGCCTTCCGGGCCCACCAGAAGTCGGGAAATAGGCTGTTTCCGGCCTCCAGAGGGCCTCTGGGGGGTGGGGAAGGCCGTTTTTGCCCTCCCCAGGCTCCAGAGGCTTTCTAGGGAGGGAGAAAAATGGGCCTTCCAGTCCCACCGGAAGTCGGGAAGTAGGCCATTTTCAGCCTCTGGGGGGGTGGGGAAAGCCATTTTCACCCACCTCAGGTCCTAGAAAGTCTCTGAAGCCTGGGGAGGGCAAAAAAACGGGCCCACCGTGCCATCGCGTGCCAAAAGCAGGGAAGCATGGGGGGGGTCGCATGCGTATGCGCAGGGGGGGCAGGGCACATCAAATTATGAGTGCGGGCACGCGTGCGACTCCCCCATGCTCCCCCGTCTATGGCACGCGACGGCAATAAGGTTAGCCATCATTGGACTAGAAGATCTCCAATGTCTCTTCCAGCTCTATTCTCATTGATTGATGTTTACCAGCTGCATAAGGACAGGTGACCAGAAGGGTGCTTTGCTTTGAAACTGAGGTAGAAGGGCCACCTGTAATGTGAAGCAGAGTGCCCGTAGATGAATGCAAGCCAACAGGCCTTCCTATTTGTGGGACAGAAAGTTGCCCGACCCTAGGATACGATCCCTGTCTTGGTGTTTTAAAAATCCAGATAATTTGGAGATGGAAATTGGTTTTATTCCAATCCAGATAGTCCCTGGGATGAAAGCAACAAGCCAAGCGGGTGTGTTTGTGTGTTTGTGTGTTTGACAGAGGGAAATGCTGATAAAGGTCAAGGATGTGGAGTGTCTGGACTCACAAAGCGAGGAGGCGAAGATCTCACGTTGCCATCTTTGCGATTTTTTAGTTGCTTTGAAGCTCTCTGGGCTGTTAAGTTAATTTCCAACCACATTTTTTGAAACAGCATAATAACTTACAGATGCGTAGCGTTCTATTTGACTTTGCTTTCAGGACTTCTGGACACTTTGGAAGTGATTTGAGTAGAAGAGCTTCAAGCCTTCCACCATACAGTTCTTCCTGCTTTCTTTAAAATAGCCCTGTCTTTTTACACTACAGATCTAAACGCAAAGCAATTCTTTTCTGGATTGATTTATATATTACTCTTAAAGCAAGACACAATGTTATTTCAGGTTCCAGCAAGGGAGTGGTCCAAGCTGAACGAGGGAGCATTTTCCTTGATTGCAGAACGTAGAGCTTTTCAAGGCTAAAATCAAGATGATGTTGAAGATGCCACAGTACTGGGGAAAGTGTTCATCTTCTTAGAGAACAGATTTTCCCTAAGAACTGAAAGTATTAGATTAGATCCGTGTTTCTCAACCTTGGTCATGGCTGGCCTGGGGAATTCTGGGAATTGAAGTCCACACATCTCAAATCTGCCACGGTCGAGAAAGCTCTGGAATAGATGGACAAACAGACCAGGTTCAGACATTGGACATGGTCTTAAGGTGATTTAATTTGGGCTTCTTCAAGCTGAAAAGTTTTATGGGAAGGAAGCCACTGCATTTTTAAACCATAGTTTGGATTTTGCCTACAATGGAAACTTAGAAATAGAGTAGAGTAGAGTAGAGTAGAGTAGAGTAGAGTAGAGTAGAGTAGAGTAAAGTAGAGTAGAATAGAATAGAATAGAATAGAATAGAATAGAATAGAATAGAATAGAATAGAATAGAATAGAATAGAATAACAGAGTTGGAAGGGACCTTGGAGGTCTTCTAGTCCAACCCCCTGCTTAGGCAGGAAACCCTATACCACTTCAGACAAATGGTTGTTCAACATCTTCTTAAAAACTTCCAGTGTTGGAGCATTCACAACTTCTGCAGGCAAGTCGTTCCACTGATTAATTGTTCTAACTGTCAGGAAACTTCTCCTTAGTTCTATACAGGAACATGAGGGAGAAATAGGAACATTTTTTTGGCTCCTAAATGTATACCTTATGCACTGAAGGTACATTGATGTGGTGATCTTAAATATTCAGAGACTGAGAAATTCTATGTTTCGTTTTATATAAAAACAGGGTATTCGCCCTTGAGGTTGTAAAGAGAGGGGCTCAAAAGCATCTTCATCACAAGTCTGTTTAATGGGCAGTAAAAAGTCAGTTTTGCTCCTGGGTCTTTAAAAAAGTGAAGCCATTTTTTTTTAATTGAGTCCAAATCCTAATAATTTTGTGGCAGCAGTATGGAATAAATAACTCCTCTGAAAGAGTGTGTTCCCTTTCCCTAACTGTTCAATCTGATCCCTAACATTTCAACACAATGTATGCGAAATGTTCTGAACTTTCACAAAACCTACTTAAATTGTATCAAAAAAAAGTAAAACAAAACAGGGCAAAGAATCAAGCACATGTAACTTCTTTTCTCCCTTTGTGCAAACAGCATTTGGGGAAAATAAAGGGACTTGCTTTTAAAGGGGGGGAATTCAGAGTGGGCTGATTTTGAAATGGTTGAAATAATGGAGAGGTCAGTACTGTAAGCAAGACATTTTTTTTCCTCTCCCTCTACAGGTAGTCCTCGGCTGACAGCTACAATTGGGACCGGAAGTTCTGTCACTAAGCGATGTGGTCATTAAGTGAGTTGTACCCAATTTTACAACTTGTTTTTTTTTTTTTTGCTGCGGTTATTAAGTCAGTTCGGCTTCCTTCATTGATTCCGCTTGTCGGAAGTCATCTGGCAATACTGCAGCTGTCCTAAAAACATGCCAATTGCCAAGTGTCTGAATTTTTATTATATGACCATGGAGGGGACAGGGACGCTGAGACGAGTAAGTGCAAGGACTGGATGTAAGTCCTTTTTTTTTCTCCCAGAACCATCGCAACTTTGAATGATTGTTAAATGAATGATCGTAAGGCGAGGGCTACTTGTTGTATTGTGATATTGTGGCTCCAAGCTCTCAGAATGGGTAGCCCATCATGCTAATTTAGTGGGAATGCGTTTCCTGCAGGTGCACTCAAAAATGTGGGTCTCTCTGCATGGGTACACACCTACACAAACCAGCAGATACATGAGGCTGAAATGATGCTGTGAAGTATCAGGTCCTTGGGGGGGGGGGGTATATATATATACTGTATAGAAGATGCACTTTTTTGTCTCCAAAAAGGGGGCGAAAATCTCTGTGTGTCTTATAGACCGAATATTGCTGAAGCCCCGCCCACTCGCCAGCCATTTTCCAGGTCTTTTTCAGGCCTTTTTCTGGCCCATTTTGAGGCTTTTTTTGGCCTGTTTTCGAGGCTTTTTTTTGGCCTGTTTTGGGGACTTTTTCAGCCTATTTTCGAAACTTTCTTTGGCCTATTTTTGAGGCTTTTTTTGGCCCGTTTTGGGAGCTTTTTCGGCCAGTTTTGGGGGCTTTTTTGGCTTGTTTTTGAGGCTTTTGGGGGCCCATTCTTTCGGCTTTTTTCAGCCCGTTTTTTTGGAAAGAATGGGCCCAAAAAAGCCTCAAAAACAGGCCAAAAAAAGACTAGGAAAAGGCCCAAAAAAAGGAAGGCCAAAACCTTTTTGTTGTTGTTCTCCTCTTCTAAATTTAGGTGCGTCTTATAGTCCGAAAAATACGGTATATATTTATGGTAGGCAGGAAAGCAGAAAGGGCTAGCAAAATTGTCCGCTTCATCTTGCTGTACTTGTTGCAATTCCCGAACGTAATTAGATGCTTGCACCAAAGAAGAGCTATGTGTCCTGAGGATGGACAGAAAGTTGGCATTTGTGCAACCCATAGGACAGGGGTCAGCAACCTGCGACTCTGGAGCCACATGTGGCTCTTTCACCCCTCTGCTGCGGCTCCCTGTCACTCAAAATATGCGTCACAACAACCAATGTGCGACACCCGCTGGCACGCAATTTGTTGAGCTTTTCAACCCCTGGTAGGCCAACCATGGATAAATCCAAGAAAAGAAAAGTTTCAGAAGAAAACTGAACGTTTAATTCAACTACATATGCTAGTTTTGTGGCCGCTCAAGAAATAGGCATGGGAAGGGTTTTGTGGCTCCCGGTGTTTTCTTTTCTGTGGGAAACGGGTCCAAATGGCTCTCTTGAATGTTTAAAGTTGCAGACCCCTGGTTTAACCCTACGTGATTCTATAAACACTGTGACCCCAATGCAGGTAATTCTCGATTTACAACAGTTTATTTAGTGACCTGTCAAAGTTACAACGGCACTGAAAAAGTAACTTAGGATCGTTTTTCACATTTACGACCGTAGCATCATCCCCAAGGTCACATGATCAAAATTCAGGTTTATGATTGTTGCATTGTCCCTGGGATCATGTGATCAGCTTTTTGCAATCACATGATGACAAAGTCTATGAGGAAGCCAGATTCACTTAACAACCTTGCTACTAACGGAACAATTGGACCAATTTGCTTAACAACTGTGGCAAGGAAAGTCATAAGACAGAACTCACTTGACAGATGTTTCGCTTACCAACATAAATTTTGGGCTCAATTGTGATAGTAAGTCGAGGACTACCTGTATTTCAGTCACTCAAACTGCTACTGACTTAGCTTCTCAGATCCTTCAAGAGCACAGGGGTTTCTACTTTTCTTATTTCCAGTTGGAAAAATAGCGACTCCAGCTATGTTCTACGCCACTTAAGAAATAAAATTTCTTAAGGCACTGCACAAGGATTATAGTGGTGGGTTTTCGGGTACAAATTAGCCACTTCTAATCAAAAGATACAGCTTTCACGAGATTCCAGATATTAAGCAAAGTGTGGAACAGACCATCTGCTCTATGGTTTTTTTTCTACTTCAGAACTTGTTTGAAGCATGTAGCAGGATAACATGGAAATTTTCAAGCATAGGCACATCATAAAGATTGCAAAAGGAAAGAACTGATCTAGAGACCTGATGGGGAGAAATGATCTTGTACTAAAGATTCTTCCTTTTACTGCTTTTCATAAGTAAATGAACCCAGTGAAGATTTCACTCTAACTTGAATGGTGACCCGTTCCACAAACCCAACTTCGTGAATTTTCTCTTTTGTTGTTGTTGTTGTTGTTATTCTTTTGCCTACCTGGACCAGTGAAATCATGGAGAAAAAGCAGAAAAGCCCACACATTACTCATAAACATTGATAACATCATAAAAGTAATCCCAGGTTAATGTTAAGCCAGGGGTGGGCAACTATAGCCCTTTTACACTCTGTGGACTTCAACTCCCAGAATTCCTGAGCTCAGGAATTCTGGGAGTTGAAGTCTATGGGTCATAAAGAGGCCGTAGTTGTCCAACTCTCTGTTGAGCAGTTATGGTTCATGAGCTTCATAGGCAACCAGGAGGGAGGTAGAAATGTAAGGATAGCTCAACATACAAGTCCTGCTTGCAAACAGTGCCTTGTTGTATCACCAGTTTGCATTATAAAGATATAAAAGTGTTTTTGTGTTTCGATATCTAAGGGGGCTGCCACAAAGAAGAGGGGGTCAAGCTATTCTCCAAAAAACCTGAAGGCAGGACAGGAAGCAACGGATGGAAACTAATCAAGGAGAGAACCAACCTAGAACTAAGGAGAAATTTCCAGACAGTGAGAACAATTAACCAGTGGAACGACTTGCCTCCAGAAAACGTGGGTGCTCCAACACTGGAAGTTTTTAAGAAGAGGTTACACATTCATTTGTCTGAACTGCTATAGGGTTTCTTGCTTGAGCGGTGGGTTGGACTAGAAGACCTCCAAGGTCCCTTCCAACTCTGTTGTTATTAAGAAGCTGCATGTGGTAGGCCACATATTTCCTCTTCAAGTTTCTTTATTCCTTCGTTTTTTAATTGTGCGTGAGATCATGGCCTCAAACTTCACTGTGCTCTATGAATTTTTTTTTTTTAAAAAAAAGAATGGGAACATTTTTTAAAAAATAATAATTGCACTTTAACGCGTTCAAGATAAAACTGTCTTTCAAATGTTGCAGGATTGTGGATGTTTCAGATTTTGGGGTTGGGGGCTTTTTAGGAGGGTTCCTGGCATTCTTCTCATCCTATGGCAGGGGTCGGCAACCTTAAACACTCAAAGAGCCACAAAGGTCCTAACCGGAAGCCCCCCCATTCAATTCTGGAGCCGACCAGAAGTCCAGTTCCTCAACCATAGAGTCTCCTCCTAGCACAATGTCCTTTTTCTTCTACCTGTCCTAACCGAAAGCCCTATCAATTGTGGAGCCAACCGGCAACAGGGAGCCTCAGCAGAGGGATGGAAGAGCCACATGCGGCTCCAGAGCCACAGGTTGCTGACCCCTGGGTTAAACAGAGCCAAGATGCATAGCTCTTATGTGCTTTGACGAAATTCACCTTTTAGTGCATCAGATGCTTCAAGCAAACAGCGAACGCATGGTTAACAGCATATCTCAATTCCTTTGTGAACTTGCCTTCTTTTCTGCAGGATTGGCTCAACAAGGACTCGATCAGAGGTGGGTTTCACATAATTTTACCACCAGTTCGCTGCTCACCGAAAATGTGAGCGCGCACGCTCGTGTCCCTTGTGTGTGCGCCTTCCGCATATGCGCCCAGCCTTCCGCGCACTTTGCTCATGCGCGCGGCTTGCACGCATGCACACGGCTTAGAAAACGTGGCTAAATAGGGCGGCATAGCGCCGGGACGGATGGGCACCCGCAGGTCGCCACTACCGGTTTGCCCAAACCGGCTGAATACCACCACTGGACTCGATGTAGGTGAGGCATGTGATCCCCAAGTCAAGTATGATTTCTAGGATAAACTCATAGAACAGGGCTATTTCTTTTGCCAAACCTCTTTGAAAGTCTACTGAAAGCTATGGACCCCTTCTCAGGAAAGCATGTTTCAATGCATAATTATTATTATTATTATTTTAAAAAAACATAGATTATATTACAAAGGAAACCAATTATGCTCAAATACAGCCATCAAAATATTAATGGATTATGTGGATATTTGGTACAAAAGAACCTTTGAAATGCAAATTGTTGACTGTATCCATTACATACTTTTCAGCAGGGGAAAAAGGAACTTTATTGTAACTAAATGTGTTCTGGTTTGGGTTGTTTGTTTTTAAGTCTTAATAATTTTAGGTGGTGAGATTTATTGAAATTAACAAAGATTTTTGGAGTCTAGAGACCACAAATTGCTTACTTGCTTACATGCGTTATTGAATGAAAAGCTAAATTTTAGTTAAACGTTAATAAAAATAAAGTTGTAATCTTTTTCTAATCCAGGTTCAAAACCTCAAGAGATCTGTTCAAAGACCCTCAATGGGTTTTTGGAATCCAGAATAAGAATCTCTACTACAGGTAACCCTCGATTTACGACCACAATTGAGCCCAAAATTTCTGTTGTTAAGCCAGGCTGTTAATTACATTTTGTCCCGTTTTGCCTTTCTTGCCATAGTCGTTAAGTGAATCACTGCAGTTCTTAAGTTAGTAACACGGTTGTTAAGTGAATCTGACTTCCCCACTGGCTTTGCTTGTCTGAAGGTTGCAAAAGGGGATCACATGATCCCGGGATACTGTAACCGTCATAAATAAGTGCCAGTTGCCCGAATTTTGATCACGTGACAAGCAAAATCAATGGGGAATCCATATTCGCTCAACAACCGTGTTACTAACTTAGCAGCTGCTGTGATTCATCTGACAACTGTGGAAGAAAAGGTCGTAAAATGGGGCAAAGTTTACTTAACAACTGTCTTGCTTAGCAATAGAAGGGTTGGGCTCAATTGTGGTCGTAGGTCTACTTACTACCTGTATGTGACTACAGGGCTGGGGTGCTTGAATGTGGATTATAAATTGGTATTTGAATGTGGATCATAAGTCCCTTTTTCAGGCTCCATCCTAACTTTGAACAGTCGCTAATACCGGTCATAAATCAAGGGGTACCTGTAGTAACTCTGTTTCCCTTGCAGCAGAGTTTTCAAAAAAAACAGAGAGGCTACCTCCAAAAAATTAGGCTGCCTAATAAGACCCTTAATTCTGTTTTTTTAGTCTTCCTAAATAGAAGTGTTATCTTTGTTGTTGTTGAGGCAAGGAAACTCCATGATGCTAAGTAAACAGCTGTTATTTGTGAACAAAAGGAAGAAAGCCGTATTATAAATGCTGGTGGAGATTAGGATTAGTGAATTCCCCCACTACGCATATGTCTTCTTAAAATCCATTCACAGTTGGAAATTTTGCATATTTTATAGTAGTGTTTCTCGACCCCAATCAATCTATTAGGAATGCTAGGCACCTACTGGTCTTAACTTCTAACAGGATCTCTTGCAGGGGATATGACCAAGGTGTATAGTAAAAACACCTTAAAGCACAGTGTTTCTCAATTTTAAGACTTGTGGATTTCAACTCCCAGAATTCCCTAGCTAGAATGCTAGCTGGGGAATCCTGAGAGTTGAACTCTCGCCCATCTTAAAGCTGCCAGAGTTTAGAAACGCAGTTTTGTAAGACGAGGCTTAAAAATATCTACATCTGACATTCCTAGAGCTTGTGTGTTTCAAGATGTTAGTTTGCAGTAGATAAGGAAAATTATGTCCTCCGGGGAAGTCTGCAGGTATGTTTAGAAAAGCCAATATAGTCACACAATGGTGTGAACCATAACTCCACCTGTTTCTTTTTAGGTGTGATGGACGGAAAGAAAATCAGGTGGAGTGTTGATCACATCATTGTGGTCGCCATTTTGGCCATACTCTCCAGACACACCTCGTGTTCCCTTGTGGCAAAACCAAAGCCTCCACAATGTGGATTCAGAATAAATGTAAATGATTATCGACTAATGTACAGTACACGTCCTGTAACCTCATTCTCACCTGCTGATGTCCCTGTTCCTTGTTCGCGCACATTAATAATAGTCAGTTCACAACCCCAGCATAGCTGCTTCAGCAAAGTGTTACTTTTAAATAAATGGGGCAGTAATTTTTTATTAGGCCTTCCAAACTGTCACAAAAGAGCGAGAAAAATTTCAAGTTCTCCAGAACTCCTCATCAGGAGGTGACTGTGACTAAATGAGACATTTTGGCTGCATTCTCAAATTGGTTTTTTTCTTTTTCTTTGTCTTCTATCCGTTTAGCATCTAGCCTGCTAGGAATCTCGGGGGGGAATAGCATTTATTCCCACTTTACTCAAAAGTCAGGAGTGATTTTGTTCATGGTACTCTCCTAGCGCTCTTTAAAATATCAAACTAGCCACCATCTAATCCCCCCCCTAAAAAAGTTCAAACATCCACATGGTTAGATATTAGGGAACTGTTATTTTTCTCAATAAAACTTCATTTTATTTTATTTTTTAATTAGATTTATATGCCGCCCTTCTCCGGAGACTCAGGGCGGCTTACGATGCGTTAAGCAATGGCCTTCATACTTTTGTATATTTTATACAAAGTCAGTTTATTGCCCCCACAAACTGGGTCCTCAATTTACCTACCTTAGAAAGGATGGAAGGCTGAGTCAACCTTGAGCCTTGGCGAGATTCGAACCTGCAGTAATTGCAAGCAGCTGAATGTTAATAACAGGCTTTTAGTCTGTTGAGCTATCCAGGCTCCTGTATGGCTGCATGCATGTATTCTTCTGGAAAAAACACCTTTTACATCTGAAGTTGGAGAGAAAATCAGATTCTTAAAAATCAAAAATAATTAATTAATTGATTAATTTATTAATTTGATTTTTATACCGCCTGTTTTGTGAAGCATGGAGGACATGCTTCACAAAACTGGTTGAAACTGGGTATAAGAATGGGCAGGTGCTGTTCCCAAGTGGGAAGCTAAGGGGCTTCCATGTGTCCTTCCATCTTTTGTGATCTGGGATGCATGTTGGAAAGAAAGGTTAGACCACAAAAATATTGCGGTAGGGGGTTGTATTCAGTCAGGCATGGTAACGGTGCCACTTTGCAGTGGTGGGTTCCACAATTCCGCTCAGTATTGGAACCCAGATTCACAAGAAGTCTTCGCTCTGACACAGCGAGCATTGAAGAAGTGCTTATGTTCAGGTCTGCACCACCTACTCTTTGATGGACCTAGCCTGAAGGATGGCCTCTTTCCTCCCAAATGCTTAGTTTTAAAAATAAGGCTTAGCACCAGCTTAGCATGGTTTCCTTCAGCAGCATTTAGGCCTTAGCTAAAGAGCGCTGTGCTTCTTTCTGCAAAATTTTGGAAATCAAGAAGTTTAGAAAACCGTATATGGAGTAGAAAAAGGGGAGGGGAAATGTATTCCCTCCTCTTGTGCCAACCAAGTTGGTATGTTTCACTGTCAAAGGGATTCAGGAAAGCTTTTTATTTAAAATAATAATAATAATAATAACGATACTACCATGTTTCCCCGAAAATAAGACCCTGTCTTATATTTTTTTGAACCCTGAAATAAGCGCTTGGCCTTATTGCCATGCGCTCAAAAGCCCGAATGGGCTTATTATCAGGGGATGTCTTATTTGGGGGGAAACAGGGTACCACTAATAGATCAGCTGTGCATAAAGTTCATAATTCAAGTATGCAGATAGTTCCCACAGGACACGGGGCTGGCGGTAGGTTGGACACATTCCTTGAGGAAGAAGAACCTGGCCGTGGTGGCTACCTAGGAAGGTGTTTTCCCATCAAACCTAGAGAGCAAAAATAAGGGTATTCAGCTCTATGGATCTTCGGTGGGATGCATCAGAGCAGTTTTGATGCAAGGGAATTTCTCTCATAAATCAAAGCAGCTTTTAGAAATGGGAAAAAGACTTCCTAAAATCCTGGAGCTGCGGTCGTGCCATCGCTCTTCAAACCATGTTTCAGCCTTGTTTCCCTTTTCTCCAGTGTTTAAGAAAAAGAAGGGGAAAAAAAAAAAACAGCTGGGGTGCATAAAGGGGAAAGCTCTGAATAGCCTTGGGATGGCGAGAGAGAAGGAGAGAGATCTAAAATGGCTGCCGCTGGGCACTTCGGCACCAGCAAGTGGCGTTCAAATCATAGCTGGGCTCCCACCAAGAAGATAGCTGGAGTCATCGGAGAGAGATTAAGAAAGAGTGCCAAGGAAGCAGATCTCTCAATGGGAGAAATGAAAGTATTGAAAAAGGGGGGGGCATGAAGGATGGACCCCCAATCTCCAAAACCCCCCCTCCCCAGAGATCGCTGCTGGAGAGAGTCACAGCCTTGTAGATACGAGAAGGTGGACAATCGGGGTGCTCTCTCATCATCTGGGCCAGAGAAGTCACCCCCCAATGGGCAGCCCTGGTCAGCTGAGCTTGGGGGACCAAAGGAAGAATTTAGAAAGATTGGTCCAATCTCAGTTAGTTACCCCAGGCCAGAGGAATAATTCCTACTCTGGTGCAAGAAAGCTCCTGTGTAGCTTAGCCGGTTGGGTGGGAGGAGAGAGTTAACCACGGCTGTTGGATCATGGCCCAGATCTCTCTCTCTCCTCTTTTTTTTTTTTTTTTCTTTTTTTTCCCGGCGTCCCTTTCTCCTTTGCTCTCTCCCGCCCTCTCTGCTTCTCTCTCTTTCTCTTCCCTCCTTCGCTGGCACTGAGCATTCATCCATTCCCAGCAAAGTGCCCACCTCCTTCCCAACTTTGCTCGGCCATTATGCCCCATTCCCTCTTTTGTCTCCCTCCCCTCCCCTGCCCCAAGCCTCAAGCAAGAGCCGAGCCCCGCTTGGCACACCCTGGCAGGGCTCCCAACCTGTCGTCCCTCTCGCCCTCTGTGCCAGCTTGACCCCCTCCATTTTCTTTTCTCGCTTCCTCGCCTACAGTCTCTCTTTCTCTCTCACTTTTCGTTCCTTTCTTCCCCCGCCATCCTGGGCATCTCCCCCGCTTGAACCCCGAAGATGGCATCCTTGAAGATCGACCCATCCTGAGCAGGGTGAGGCGTGACACTCGAAGGGCTTGTCTCTCGCGCTTTTCTGTGCCAATTTTCAAAAAGAGAAAGAGAGAGAGAGAGAAAAAAAAAGTTTCTCTTTTGGGTTCAGCCCTGATGCCGCAGACTTAAGGCTCAGCGGCATCGCCGGGCGAGGGCGATGGGTTTGGGGGTACTCGGGAGTGCTGTGGGATTGAGTGGGATCAGGATGGGAATAAGGGTGGGGCTCGGGTGGGAGTACGGGGGTCCCTGAACAAAAAGGCTAGGGGAGCCAAACTGGGGGATCTTGCGGTAGAGCTGAAGGGCCACCTTCGTTTCTCTCTCGGTTGAGTAGCCCACCAGCAGCCAAGCTGGGAAGTCTGCATAATGGCGGACCATGGTTCCAACTCCAGCCCCCTCCCCCCCAATCCTCCCTCTGTCCAGGAATGCCAAGGCACGCAGGGCTTCAGAGTTAACCCTATGGGGAGGCCTTCCCTTCCAACCCCAAGGAAGCATCTTCTTCAGCCCTTGGTGGATCTCAGCTAGTGCGAACCCGGCTAATTATGGCACGGTCTTCAGGACCCACACCTCTTTTTCTGGGGCGGTGGGGCGCCATCAAGACTCAGGCATACCAGCAGTTTGCAAAAGCTTTATTGCCTCCTTGACTCAGCCCTCCCCAAGCTTACCCCACCCACCCCCAGGCTTATATTCTGGGGAATATAAACCTGAATATAAGCCTATATTTTCTTCTCTCTCCCTCCCTCCTCTCCCCCCACCCTCCGTAAAATTCTTTGGCCGCAGTGCGGTTGTATAAGAGAACTAAGGCCTTTCAGGAATTCCCCCATCAGCCTCCAGGCTGGGAGATCACAGCAGGGAGAAGCAGCAGGGGGTGCCTGGAGCCTTGTGTTTCCCAGGGAATCTCGAGATCTATCTTGGTGATCCGGGTCGGGCAAACTGCGCCAGTGGGCTAGCGAAGGGTCTTCGAGCCCACCTCAGCTCTGTTCGGGGAGGGGGGCTCCCCCCCTCCATGTTGCTTGTCTTTGGTATTCTGTTTTGGAATGCATTTTTTTTTTATCCTCCTTAGGAGTGTTTACAGCATTGTTGTTGTTGTTGTTATTGTTGTTATTAATTGATTTTCTGCCAGGGAGCGAAAAGCACAAGAGGGGGGGGATCCGAAGGGGAAAAGGAGGCAGGCTGGTGGGTGGGTGGACTGACCCTGGCAGATCAGGTGGGGAGAAAAGAAGAGAGAGGGAGGGAGGAAAGGAGGCCGGGAAGGGAGGGGAGCTGCCGTGGGTCAGGCCTGAGCGAGAGAGAAAAGACTGGCAGTGTTGAGAGGAGCCATGCTGGAGCTGGCGGGTGCCATAGGCAATGGATCAGCACAGAGAGGGTGAGTTGGCATGATGCCAAGGCCTAGGCGGTCGTTGCCTAGCGACCCAGGTTCCCTTGGCAGCCAGACTGCCGTTTCACTTTCATTAAAGGGTGAGGGAGACAGCGATGGGAGAAGAAATGGGGAATGGAGGGGGCGGGGTGGAGAGAAGGAAAGTGTAGGGGGGGGGACAGACGGACGGACGGACGGAGGTCAGGTGGAGATCTCAGAAGGATCCACTGCGGCCAAATTGCGTCGGGCGGCAACACCTTTGGGAACTTGCCGTGAGGGTGGGCACAGATTGCAGGGCAGGCTTCGGGTGCCAGCCGGGGGCAAATTAGGGGAGTCCCCTTCCCCCCCCCCCCCAAGCACAAGTGGGAGAAGAATAAAGTAATCCCAAGGAATTGCTGGGGGAGGGGGGGGTGCTTGGTGGGGATAACCCAGGGGGCTTGAGGCCTTTTCCAGTTCAAGCCAGTCTGGTCTTCAAGGAAGTGGGGGGAAAAACCCAAGTTGGGGCCTTGGCTGGAAGAACCCGGGTGCAAGGCAGCTCCAAAGATGTACCCATTTCAGGGATGGGATTACAAATCGAAGGCTATTGCTATCTTGGGGATCTTTTAAACCCCATCTCCACCAAAAGCGGCTTAGAAACCCCCCCCCCAAAAAGTCACAACCTACCAAGTTATCCCTACCGTTGGCACCTTCAAAAAAGTCGAAGGCGGTGGGTTTTTTTGCAGCTTAAGGCAGAAGGTGCAAAAGTTGGCAGAGGGGGCAACCCTTTGTGTTGGGAGCAAGTTTGGCAAGGACAGCCCCCCCCCCCAAAGATCTAAATTGCATTGTGGTTTCAGGCAGGCGGGGGGGGGATTTTGGCTGGCTGGGTTGCCCCCCGAGGAAGCCAGTTTTACTTTATCTGGATGGGTGAAGAAGGTCAGAACAGCAGGCTGGTACCCTGGTGGCAGCTGGCAATTAATGGGGGTGGTGGGGTGCGGAATTGGAAGGTTGTCTGAATAAAGGTCGGAATAAAAAAAAATAAAAAAAAATAGGAAGACAGGGCCTGGAGGCCTCGAGGGAGGCCAGCTTGGCACAGGTTTTGGCAGATAACAATACAGGCGAGGAGCACGGCTCCCCCCGCTGCTCATCCCCAGCATTTTGAGGCCAGGTTGGCCAACAGAGAAGGGCTGGCAGGCAGGCAGGTGGGGGCAGAGGGTTGGCTGGCTGGCTGGCTGGCACTCTGGGGGCCAGCCTGCTGGCGGGCAAGTTGGCACAGCATACCGCAATACAGCGTGATGTGAATTCATTAGAGGCCAGAGCGAGAGAGTGAGACAGGAAAAGAAGGGAAGTCGCGGGGGGTGGGGTGGGGGTGCGGGGAGAGGGAGGAATGGGAGACGGGCACTGACCCAAAGGCCAGACAATGGCAGCAGGTAACCATGGTAATACGCCCGGCTGTGCCAGCCTATATCCTGAAGTGGGAAGAAAACGATCCAGACAACTCCCGGGAATTGCTCACCCACCCCTGGTTGAGGGGTGTGGAAGAGAGATGGGCTATTGTCTCTTTTCCCTTAACGTTCCTGCTATATTGCAGTTTTCAAACGTGTAAATGGTGCCAGGACCCTCTTCCCTCTCTCTTCTGCTCCCATGTTCCACTTCTGCTTCCTTGGCAATTTTGCCCTTCTTTTCCCCCACCTCTGGCTAATCTTCTCATTCCTCCATTGCTCTCAGCGGCTGACTAGCTCCCCCAGTTTCTCCCTGCTTTCCTTCCCCCCCCCCCCCCCCCACCCCTGCAGGAAGGCGCTCCCCCCCCCCCCTTTTTTTTTTTTCTTTTCAGCCAGCCTGCATCCATATTGCATTCTCCTCTCCAGCCCCGGACTCTCTGGTGATGCAGCAGCGCCTGAGGGAGGGAGGTGGCACCGTGCCCAGATCTCAGTATTCCTCTGCTCTCACGTCCCTGTCTCCTCGCCATTGTCTGCCTCCGTCTTTTGCTCCTTGCACCACACTGCATCTCACCCCCCCCCCCCCCCCCCCCCCCCCCGCCCCCCCCTTCGGCGGTCTCCCCCCTCCTCTCCCCCCCCCCCCCGAGTCCGTGGCTCTTTTTTTTTCCCCCCCTGCAGCCCAGGAGGTTGTTCAGGGAGGAGCCCTCCTCCCCCTTGGGGCTCCCTTGCCTTCCCCCCCCAATGCAGCCATCTCTGATGAGGAAGCCTTCCCAAGCTGTAGCTTTTAAGATCCCATCTTGACTCTTGAAAGGTGGAAGTGGAAGGGAGAGAGAGAGAGACAGAGAGAGAGAGAGAGAAAGAGAGGTATGTCTCACTTTTATTTCTCCCATTCCTATCTTTTGCTTTTCATTTGCAGAAAATCATCTAAACCCATTTTCTGGGCTAGCCCAATAATGGAGTCATAAACCAACCAGATTTGTGCCACGGTCTAGTCACTTGCAAACCGTGGTTACGTTAACCAAGCTTAACATGTGTGAATGCAGTCTTTTGGGCTTGAACTAAGCAGGTTAAGAATGTGGGAGTCCATAACTATCTGCTCATTGATCTCACTTCAATCCTTTCTGCATGTGTGACCTGAAAACCTTTTGCGTTCTTCAAACCCGCCCTACTTGGAACACATTCCGTGAAGACCTAGCTCCCTCAAGAAGTCCATGATGCTGAGAAAGACAGAAAGAGGTCATCGGTGAAATGGATGGAGATGGCTACAGCCATGATGGGTACCTTCTTTGGAAGAGCCGAAGGAGACAGATCATCCTGGAGAAGACCACTTCTTTGCAGTTGCTAAGAGTCAACTCCAGCTTCTAGACCAGTGTTTCTCAACCTCGGTAGCTTGAAGATGGGTGGACTTCAACTCCCAGAATCTCCCAGCCAGCAGCGCTGGCTGGGGGATTCTGGGAGTTGAAGTCCACCCATCTTCAAGCTTCCAAGGTTGAGAAACACTGGTCTAGACAGAAGAATTCTTGGCTGCTATGGGAGAGTAAGGGCAGAGCTGAAACTGTGGGGCAGAAATATCACTGCAAAAAATGTGATGCTTTCCTGGCTTCCCGTATTTCACCACGCACCATAATATCCATTTTAAGAAGTGGTGGAAGAAAATGAAAATCCATAAAGATTTCCTAAAAAAGGGGGGTGGGGTGGTTAGACTGAGTCACTGCATGAAGTACCTCTGCATGGAGTTGCCTCTTGGATTACTGGAATTCCGAGACATCCTTGCCCACACATATTCTGTTGAGGAAATTGTCCCTCCTAACATCAAGAACATGCTGAGAGAATGAAGGCTCCTGCTCACAGACCCATGCGTTTGGATAATGAGTTAATGTTAATGAATATTCCTTTGATTTCTTTTGAAATTCCTCCGGGATTTGGCCTGAGAAGAAATGTCCACATCCATCATGACTTTCAACAACAGCGGGGAGGTGGGATGAAGGAGCTACAAATGTTTGCTTGCAATTAAATTCATCTGTACTTTTTCCTCTGTGGTTTAAAGGAGCACTTCAGAGAACCCTGGTTGCCCCTTAAACTGTGATATTCTCATGGGCACCTGCTGCCCACCAAAAGAGAGGTCCTTTTGGCCCAGATTACTATGTAATTGTATGATGTCACTTACCCTGCTTAATGCAAGAAGATGCTAAAGAGTGTTATCGAGTCAGCCACAAATGGAGAACATATATATATATATTATATCTATCTATCTATCTATCTATCTATCTATCTATCTATCTATCTATCTATCTTTGGAACTCTGCCTCAGAGATTGCCATCAGAATGGAGCCTACTGTGAAGACCCAACTCATCCCAAATCCCAAACTTCAGGTATTCACGGGTGGCTCCCATGAATGTTCCAAAGCAACAGAAGAAGACAAGGCAAGAAACAATGGATGGAAACTAATCAAGGAGAGAAGCAACCTGGAACTAAGGAGAAACTTCGTAACAATGAGGACAATTAACCAGTGGAACAGTTTAGCTCTAGAAGTTATGGGAGCTCCATCACTGGAGGCTTTAGCAAGAGACTGGACAGCTAGCCACTTGTCTGGAGTGGTGTAGGATCTCCTGCTTGAACAGGGAGTTGGTCTAGAACAGGGGTCTCCAACCTTGGCCACTTTAAGACTTGTGGACTTCAACTCCTAGAATTCCTCAGCCAGCTTTGCATTCGCTGGGATGCAGCTTTGCTGGCTGAGGAACCCTGGGAGTTGAAGTCCACAAGTCTTAAAGTGGCCAAGGTTGGAGATCCCTGGACTAGAAGACCTCCAAGGTGCCTTCCAACTCTTGTTATTCTATTAAGTAGAGTCTCCAAACTCCATCTCCAAAACTCACCATCTCTGGTTTCAACTGTTTGTTTCTTGGGGGCTCTGTGTCTATGACCGTGCGCAGAATCTCTTTAATTGTCTCAGTCCACACACCATTCTCGCCCTCCATACAAACACACATTGAGTAATTGCAACCAGCCCCGAAGCTCAGTGCAATTATAACAGCTAGGGTGTTGGGTTTGAGTGAGAAATGCAAATTCCGATTCCCCCCCCCCATCTTTTAACGTGTGCTGGTGTCTCAAAATCAGTTGCCTGATAAACTGACAAGGTTGTGAGCTGGGGGTTCCCACAATGCTAGGCAATTTGACCCCCGTGGAAGGTGGGAAGATGTGAGGAAGATGGACAGAATTACAGACGAGCCAGATGATCTTAGGTCTTTGTCTTTTTTTTGCTTCCGCTTTTGTACACAATTTAAGCCCTGCGAAAATGGGAATATTTAAAGAATTGTGATGCTATTGTCTCTGTGTAAGACTCAAGTTGAGTAGGCCGGAGGTTTTTTTTTTTCTTCTCAAACTTTCTAAGAACACACAAAAAAAATTCTCTTGAATAAAGCTATTTTTTCTATCACTAGAATTTTGTTCTTGGTCTGGGGTTCTGGGATTTAGCATTAATGTTTTAAAAAACAGTCCCAAGTTCTGAAAATGTTTGAAAAAGCCTCGACTAGTATCAAGACTGGAAATGCATTAACCTGGGGTTTTCTTTATCATTTACTTGGACAGGGTTTTTTTTTTCCAAAACTTCTTCTCCTAATGTCATTATTAATGTTTTTATTATAGATTGGAAAGCAGAATGCCCGTTAGTAACTGAGCCCTCCTGGAAGACAAAAAATGGCTTAGAGGTAAGATTTCTTACAACTTGATTCGTCACCGACACCACATTTTGCACATTCAATAGCAATAGCAGTAGACATATATACCACTTCATTGTGCTTTAAAGCCCTCTCGAAGGAGCTTACCAAGTCAGCCTATTGCCCCCAACAATCTGGGTCCTCATTTGACCGATCTCAGAAGGAAGGATGGCTGAGTCAACATTGAGCTGATCAGGATCGAACTCCTGGCTGTGGGCAGACTCAGCCTGCAATGTGGCATTCTAACTACTGTGCCACCATGTCTCTTTTTAAAAGACTTTCTGAGTTTGTGACTGGACTTGTCCACCTTCTCTACCTAATATTCCCTTTTCTCAGGTGGGTTTACATCAAGGTAGCATCAAGTAAAGAAAGATTTACTTTTCTCTGTTGCGTATATATCCCACCATTCCTTTAGAACACAGGTGGGGAAAGATGGGCCCTTCATGACTTGGGGACTTCAACTCCCAGTATCCCTGAGCCAGCCATACTAGCTCAGGAATTCTGGGAGTTGAAGTCCCCAAGTCATCAAAGGGCCAGCGTTTCCCACCCCTGATCTACAGGCTAAAACAATCCGACTAGTACCCACGAGTAAAATCCAAAATGCAAAATCTACGTCTCACTCATTGCTGGCTGGGGAATGCTGGGAGTTGGAGTCCACAAGTCATAAAGGGGCCATCGTTCCCTATCCCTGCTTTAGGAGCTCAAGGCAATGTAAATAACAATAACAGGTTTGGAAGGGACCTTGGAGGTCTTGTAGTCCAACCCGCTCCTTAGGCAGGAAACCCTACACCACTTCAGACTAATGGTTGACCAATCTCTTCTTAAAAACTTATTATTTATTTATTTATTGGTTCGATTTATATGCCGCCCTTCTCCGGAGACTCAGGGCGGCTTACAATGCTTTTAAGCAATAGCCTTCATACTTTTGTATATACCTGCTTAGTAGGGATTTTTGGCTCCCCCTAAGCGGTGTTCTATTTTATACAAAGTCAGCTTATTGCCCCCACAAACCGGGTCCTCATTTTACCTACCTTGGAAGGATGGAAGGCTGAGTCAACCTTGAGCCTGGTGAGAATTGAACTCGCAGTAATTGCAGGCAGCTGGCAGTTAAATACTACTTTTTTTTTTTTATTATTTGATTTATATGCCGCCCATCTCCGGAGACTCAGGGCGGCTTACAATGTGCTCAGCAATAGCCTTCATTCTTTTGTATATTTTATACAAAGTCAGCTTATTGCCCCCATAACTGGGTCTTCAATTTACCTACCTTAGAAAGGATGGAAGGCTGAGTCAACCTTGAGCCTTGGCGAGATTCGAACCTGCAGTAATTGCAGGCAGCTGGTCTTAATAACCAGCTTACTTTAAGTTTAGTAGTTTAGTCCACTGCACCACCAGGCTCAACTTCCAGTGTTGGAGCATTCACAACTTCTGGAGGCAAGTTGTTCCACTGATTAATTGTTCTAACTTGTCATGAAATTTCTCCTTAGTTCTAAGTTGCTTCTCTCCTTGATTAGTTTCCACCCATTGCTTCTTGTCCTGCCCTCAGGTGCTTTGGAGAATAGCTTGACTCCCTCTTCTTTGTGGCAGCCCCGGAGATATCGGAACACTGTTCTCATGTCTCCCCTAGTCCTTCTTTTCATTCAACTAGACATACCCAGTTCCTGCAATAAGTCACAGCTGTCCAATTTTGCCTCACCCCAACAATCCTGTGAATTAGTGAGCTGAGAGGGGAATGACTTTCCTGAAGTTACCCCAGATCTTTCATGACTGAGAGTAGATATGAGTCTCCTTGGTCCCGTCCAACCACTACACTAATCACTACACCACACTACGGGTGTAGTAGATGTCCCTAACTCTGCAGTTCCAGTCAAGGCTGCCCACCGCATCCTAGTTTCCTGCACTGGGAATTCATGTGGCCACAGCATTACATATTTTTCCCTTTCCTCTTTCAAATCCAAAGCCTGCTTCAAGCCTCAAGGCACAATCTGCGTCAGCCTTCCCCAAACTAGTGCCTTTTAGATGTGGTGGACTACAACTCCCATCACTCCCAGCCTCTGAGTGACAGTATAGTGGTCTCATTTCCTGGGGATTTAACCGAAGGCAAATTATGTGAGAATTGGGGGATGGGTTTGGTTGTTTATCTGCAGACGTTTCATTACCCAAATTAGTGCTGGTTTATTTATTTATTTGTTTCCATTTCTATACCGCCCTTCTCCAAATAGGACTCAGGGCGGTGAACAGCCAAAGTAAAAAACAGAACATACAAAATTTAAAAAACAGTTTAAAATAATTAAATATTTTGGCCGTAAATTAAAACAACCCAATTTAAAATCAATTTAAGGAGTGGGGTTTACTCTCAATTTATATTCTAGTGCAGTGATGGCTAACCATTTTGCCATCGCGTGCCAAAAGCTGGGGGAGTGTGGGGTGGTCACACGCATGCATGCCCACATCCATAATTCTATGCCCCCTGCCCCCCCATGCATGTGTGCGCGACCCCCCCATGCTCCCCCATTAGGTCCATTTTTTGCCCTCCCCAGGCTCCAGAGGCTTTCTAGGAGCCTGGGGAGGGCAAAAACAGCCTTCCCCACCTCCCCGGAGGCCCTCTGGAGACCGGAAATAGCCCATTTGCTGACTTCCGTTGGGCCCAGAAGGCCCAAAAATCAGCTGGCCAGCACGCACATGCTTGCTGGACCTGAGCTAGGGCAACGCTCGTGTGCCCACCAATATAGCTCCGCATGCCACCTGTGGCACGCGTGCCATAGGTTCGCCATCACGGTTCTAGTGGTTTGCCCTGTCCGTGTTGGTGGGAGTGATTTTTTTTGCTTTGGTTGGGCTATTTACTGTTAGCTTGTTTGGCCACTCCTTGATTATTGGGTATTGTTTACTTCTGGATGGTTGGTTTGATGTTAACCACCTGGGTGTTATCTGAGAATGGTCTCCCCCCAAGCACTGATTTTCAAATCAACTTTCCAGATTGGAAGACCTCTTGATGTTGGAGTTGACCTCTTTCTGGCCAGGCTGGTTTGAAAGGGTGTGATTTGAACTCCCAATATCCTTGGAAAGCACCATCTTGGGAAAAGTTATTCTAGTTTCAACTCCGTATTTAACACAAGCCTATTTAGTGACTCACTTCAATCTTTCCAATCTTTCCCAAATTCCCTTGGACTGGATGGGCTTCTTGCCCATATCAAGCAAAGCTTGTTTTATGTTTATAACACCAGGGAATTGTGCACTGCACTGGACTTAACACTTTTCACTCTTCCTGCTCTGAGAAGGAGCAACCCAGTCATTTCAGTAGGCTTTAACACACAAACACATGCCCCCAAAAAATGTGTAGGAAGGATTGGACTCCGTGTTAAACAGGACAAAGGGGTGCATTTAAATGTTTAGCTTGCTGCCTTAGACGGATATTTTTCACTCGGTACCACTCAGCTCAGCACCCTTATGATTGCGATTAGCACCATTAGTGCATACGTCCCATTATAGGGCATATGTGATGAAAATTACATTTATCTGCTGGCTATAAAAGCCCACCCACCTTGTAAATATTGTTTTCAAACTTAATTGATTAATATTGAGAATCAATCTCAATATTAAAATCTTAATATTTAAGATCTTCATCTTTCGGTTGATTCATGGCTTCCTGTTCTACCTGATAAGGAATCAAACCTTTCTTTTCTTTTTACTTTGTCTGAAATATATTCCAAATTACTTGAGTTAGTAAGACTATCCAGCATGAGGAGTTAACACTCCTTTCATAATTAACTACTTTGAGTTAGTGCCTCTAATGTCCTAGGGGAGCCAAATAGGAACCTCTGGCTTAAGTGGAATTTCAAAAGATCATTCCCAAGGTTTATGTAGTCTGTTGTTTTATGTTTTTCAATACCGTTGTTTGACTTTGAACGATCAAATGAACGATCAAATTAAAATGAACTGTTGTAAGTTGAGGACTACCTGTATAGGACTGTACAGCTAGTCCTCGACTTACGACTACAATTGAGCGCAAAATTTCTGTTGTTAAGTGAGACATTTATTACATGAGGGGTTCCCCCCCCCATTTTACGACATTTCTTGCCCAAGTTGTTAAGTGAATCACTGCAGTTTGATAAGTTAAGTAACCCGGTTATTAAGTGAATCTGGTTTCCCCATTGACTGTGCTTGTCAGAAGGTCGCAAAAGGGGATCCCATGACCCCGGGAATCCTGCAACGGTCATAAGTATGAACCAGTTGGCAAGAATCTGAATTTTGATCGCATGATCCATGGGGAGGCTGCTGCAAAGGTCATTAAGTGGGAAGATGGGTCCTAAATCACTTTTCTCAGGGCCATTGTAACTCGGAACGGTCATTAAAACGAAATGTTGTAAATCGAGGACTGCCTGTAAGTAGATTTGGTAACGTGCAAGTCGAAAATAGGAGTTAGTTGTTAGTGCCCTGACGATGTTCCCGGCTTGTTTCGATTTGTCTGACTTCTGAAGGTGTGGTGCCTAGGATCGGACACAGTGCTTGATATGAGAGTCTGACTCAGAATAATGTGAAATGATTATGATTCCCTGTGATTTGGAAATTGAACTGAAGTCATTGCTCCCCTGCCTACACAGTGGTGAGTTTGCCCAATGAGCTAAACCAAGCTACGGGACGGGTAAGTTGTGATTCCCATGCGAGATGGGAAATTCAGCTATTGCCTTTGTATGTCGTGAGAACTAGGCCAACATGGTTTATTTGCCTAGCCCCGCGTGTCAGACAGAAGGAACAATTGTGTTTTTGCTAACCTACTTGGGGAGTTTAGGATGCTTCTTTGTGGGCTAGTCTTGACTCCAGTGGTGAAATTCTCCACGGATTGCCACCGGTGTGCTGCCCGCATGTGTGCGGTGCGCCCCAAATGTGCTGCATGCACACACGCGCAATGCACACATGACCAGTGCATGCCAAAAGCATGCTGCATGCACAGTGTGCACTAAACATATGCTGCGCGCATACACAGGGCGTGCCAAGTGTGCATGCTTCACGTGGAAAAAGAAGGCTTAACATGGTAAGTAGAACAGTGAAGGGGGGATCAGCTGTGCCGCACGATTTATATTCGGTAGAAAGATGGATTTCCTGCTTTCTAGCAAATATAAATCGTGCGGCACAGCAGATTGTCGGTTCGACCGGTAGCTGTTATCACTACCGGTTCACCCGAACCGGTGCGAACCGGCAGCATTCCACCCCTGCTTGATTCCCAAAAGAAGCCTTGATCGGGACAGAGGAAAAACCAAGAATTTCACTTTCCGTTTTTAGCCAAGGGGCCTTCGTGAGGCTCCTCAACTCCAAGACTTCCTTCGGCAAAATGGCGTCTCGCTTTTTTCCAACCAAAGCACAGCGTGTTTCTTGTACTTCCGAGCCAAATCTCCCGCTCATCATCTTACCTCTGCTTCTACATAAATGCAACAGGGAAATAGACAGAGGATAGGACCCCATTCTAAGTCTGCGTGCGAGTTCTGCCTATTCACGGGAGTGAAAAGTCCCTAAATTTTGTCCTCTGTTCTCCTTTTCCTAACAAAAAAAAAAATGGGGGGGAGGGGGGGAGAAAAAGCATCCGAAATCAAATCTGCGGAATGGATTTTTCTGGAAACGTTTTCAGGTGAGTGTTTTTAGAACGAAATCCTGGGCTTTCCCTCCACACCCCCAAAATAACGTCTGGACGACAGGTAGCTCCGTGGGAGATGGGGAGGAGCGGTGGAGGGTAGGTCACACAGAAACGTTAAAGCTAAACGTAGCAGCAACTAAGCAAAGCCTCCAGCCGCTGCCTTTGTATTGCCAGAGATTTTTTTTTTTTTCAAAGCACAGCAAGTGCCTCTCTTTGCGTTTACGTGGTTAAACTTACAATGTCCTTACCCAGAGCGAAACGCTGGTGGTGCGAGAGCTCCCTCTTGCGCATTTTCCCTGAAATTTTTCATGGTTTTCAACCATACGGCTTGCCTTCTTCCTCCACGTTCCACAATGGCCTATCTCCCCCCTCCTCCTCCCCACTCCCGGGCCTGATGCAGTTTACAACCAGGTGAAAAGCCAGCCGCATAAACTCTATAAAAATCCATCCCCCTTGATTAAAACAGCCAGTGCGAGCAAATTGTCAGGCATCTCTGCTTGCGGCATTTAGCAAATGTTCCTTTGCTGACAAGCCCCAGGTTATTGGACAGTAACTGTCTGAAGAAGCAGGATGCATCACAATGACGGTCACTGAATCGGAGCGCTGGTGCAATGCACACTCAGGCTAGCCATGCAGTGAGGCGTGGTGGGAAATTTCAAGGGAAGATCTGAGCCTCGAGGTGGTTTGCCGTTCACACCTGGAATGATACAGATACTACGCACACCTGCAGTTGCACTCACACCACTCATATCTGCAGTGGTACATCTACCTTGCACACTTATAGTTTCACATCTGCCACTCATACCCTGCAGTACCTTGCACACCTGCAGTTGTGCATGTGTCACTCACACTTGCCCACCTATAATTGTATAAGTGCCACTGCAATGATACATACACATACCTTGCATACCTGCAGCTGTGTACATTTCGCCATACCTGCAGTGGTCTGTGCCTTGCACACCTGCAGTTGCACATATGCCCCCCACATCTGCAATGGTACATACACCTTGCACACTTGCATTTGCACTCCTGCCACCCAACACCTGCATTGGTACATACCTTGCACATCTGCAGCCGCACACATGCAGGATGTATGTGCAGACGTGCATGCGTGCACGTGTATGCAGTTACACAGATGCATATGGGCAGTTTCCACAGGAAGTCTGCTAGGACTAAGCAGGGGTTGCCAATAGGAACAGGAGGAAGGGTTAGGAGGCGAATTTGGAGAGAAGAAAGAGTGGCTCAAGGCCAGTTGGAAGGCTTCAGGCCTCTGGATGAGTTTTCCTCTTTGGAAGAGGTCAGGGTGATCTCACAAGACCGATCAATGGAGATCCTAGACCCAACCAGCCTTGATAGTACAGTGGTTTAGTGCACCCTGTTATTAACACAGCTGCCTGCAATTTCTGCTGGTTCGAATCTCTCCAAGGCTCAAGGTTGACTCAGCCTTCCATCCTTTCTAAGGTAGGTAAATTGAGGACCCAGTTTGTGGGGGCAATAAGCTGACTTTGTATAAATATACAAAAGAATGAAGGCTATTGCTTAAGGCATTGTAAGCCGCCCTGAGTCTCCGGAGAAGGGCGGCATATAAATCAAATTAAAAAATAAAAACAAAAAAAACCCCACAAGCTCATAGACCAATGCAAAAATGAAGCCATGATAGAGTTTGAGTTGCAACCAAATCGTAATAGGAAGGCTTGAGATCTTGGTGATTTTAACTAGATCCATAGCAATGTATATAAATTCAATAAATAAATAAAACGGTTGGTTCTTCTTGTTCTAAAATAGCCTTCTTCAGGTTCAGGACAATTGGCTCCCAAGAGCTCCTAAGCCAAGATTCAGACCAGTGGTGGGTTGCTCCCGGTTTGGTCCGGTTCTTGCGAACCGGTAGTAATGGCGGCGGGAGGCTCCGCCCACCCCATTCCCCCGACGTCATCACTGACAATCTGCGCATGCGCAGAAGCGCACCACGCACACAAGCAAAGCAAGCGTGCACGCGCAATCCCATTGCGAACCATTAGTAAAGGTAAGTGGAACCCATCCCTGATCCAGACCAACTTTCAGACTAGCCACAAATGTTAGGCTGGCCGGCTGCTCCATTTCCCGCATCCAGTCCCTGAACATTCCTGGATTGGCTCATCTTCAGCAAAAGGGCTGAGCTTCCACCATCCCGTTCCCTGAACGTGGTTTTTCTTCCCTCTCCTTTTTCATTCCCTCCCCCCTCCCCGCTATGCTTCTCCGTGTTTTCCCTCCCCCAGCATTCCAGGGTTCGTTGCTTCTCCTCTGTGGCGCCCGTTATCTCCGCGGCACCTGCAGGTGTCAAGATACATCCCCAGCTGGGAAATGCTCCCTTTCCCCAGCGGTCTCCCACCTCTGCTCCTGCGGTGGCTTTGCCGGTTGCCATAAACCCGTAGATCCGAACTTGCGGTACCACTGCTTCACACAAGCTCGAGTCTGTGGGTATGTGTCGACCTTGGCCAAGTTCTCCCGATGCGCCACGATGCCGGACCGGCTTTCTGGAGTTCGAGCGTGTATAACCATCGGTTCCACTAAAACTTGACAAAGAGCTGAGCTCCTGGCTGAGAAGGGAACAATCTGGCCGCTTCTACTTCCTCTTTGGCTTTCCAGTCTTCGTCGGAAGGTGCATGGAAACGGGTTCAACTTTCTCAGTATCTTAGCTTTCTTTTTTTAAAAAATAATAATAATAATAATAATCGGAGGCCTGAAAAAAATGTGCATCCAAAGGTGAGGCAGGTGAAGCCTGCTAAAAGAGGCTGCTTTCCAACAGCCTTGAGGGGGTGGGGGGAAGGGGTTAGGGTTAGGGTTTAAGACTTGTGGACTTCAACTCCCAGAATTCCTCAGCCTGCTGGGGAATTCTGGGAGCTGAAACAGTGGTAGTATTCAGCCGGTTCAATCCGGTTCGGGCAAACCGGTAGTGATGGCTATGGGAGGCTCCGCCCACCTGCCCGGATGTCATCGCGTCCTGTTTTTTGACCCCCCCGCATGCTCACATTTGCGAACCGGTAGCGAAGGTAAGTGAATACCAACCCTGAGTTGAAGTCCGCAAGTCTTAAACGTTGCCAAGTGGCATCAATGTTAAGGGTTACACAATCCCCCCCTTTGTATTAATTTTATTTCTTGCTGATGTTTTCTAGGCTGCTTCACTCCCAATGGCTCTCTGAGCGGCACTACCAAAAGGTCTCCCTTTCATGAGTCAGCAATAATCTCAGCTCTGCCAATCCGGGCGGTGGGTGACCTCTATGTGAGGCCCGGAGGTCCTGCTGTAGGAGCCATGGTTAATCCTGCAGTTACTCTGCTGGCAGGTAGATGTGAGCAGGGATACAGAATGCCAAGGGTTTTCTGTGTGCTACCGGCGCACAGATTTTATAAAGACTTTTATCAAATGTATTTTAAACTAGTTGTTTATTATTAAATTAATTTATAGGCCGCCCCACTCCATCACAGTTCTGGGAGTGCGAAGAATATAAAACAATGCAAAAGCCTTCGTCACTCTTGTTTTGTGGATAATTAGAAGACTGCAGTGGTAATGAAAAGCGATAGATTAGATAGATAGATAGATAGATAGATAGATAGATAGATAGATAGATAGAGAGATGATAGATAGATAGATAGATAGATAGATAGATAGATAGATAGATAGATGATAGACAGACAGACAGACAGACAGACAGACAGACAGACAGACAGATAGATAGATAGATAGATAGATAGATAGATAGATGAGAGGTAGGTAGATGAGAGGCAGGCAGGCAGATGACAGATAGAAGATAGATGATCGAAAGAGATAGATAGATAGATAGATAGATAGATAGATAGATAGATAGATAGATAGATAGATAGATAGATGATAGAGATAGATAGATAGATAGATAGATAGATAGATAGATAGATAGATAGATAGATAGATAGATAGATACATAGATACATAGATAGATAGATGATAGATGGATGATAGG